ACGGATTTACTGACTGTGACTGGCTTTGTTACCAAAAGATGAATCCCCTTTTGTTGCAGTATTTAATGTAGCCTTTTTGATTCTTAAAACTTATTAGGTTGGATTAAAATAATGATTAAAATGTGTTTATTTAACCCTCCCCAAACACACAACGAATAATTCAGTGTGTGTCTAATACGCCAATAATAAATTATATCACTACAGTGGCCACTCGCTTAGCCGAACCTCTCATAGCTGCGCTTAGCTCTACTACCCTGGCACCACTGCTCACCGACATACACTGCTGGCGTGGATTCTGATTGTTCTCTGATTACTGTTCAACAGCTTTGAAGCTAAATAACACATACAGCACTGTAGCTTCATCCTTCGGCCGGCCATTTAGCGGGGATGGGGGTCCATCTCATAGCCGCGCCGGCCTAAAAAGGAGACCCGTGCGGCGCGGCTATGCGAGTGGCCACTGTACCATCCGACAGAGAAAATTTCCCTCTTTTCAAAAATATAGTTCCTTATAAGATCGCGCGCCGTGTGTCTTTGAGTTAGAGACGAGCGAGGTAACTCGTCAAAGTCGAACCAGTAGATCCAAAATTGGTCCGTTTGGCTCTATCTCTAGCCGTTTGAGCGCAAGGGAGCGATTACCACACGGAAATGACCCCAAAACATTTTAATGCTTTTTCTCAGATATTTGATGGCCTCTGGTAAGGGGACACGTCAAAATAAAACACCGAGGAGCAAAATTTGTGACTTTTGGGGCCGAAGGCCAGCGCCACAGGCCTAGGTAGATGTATGCTAGGCGCGTCGCAGCGCAACAGTGTTTCGTGAGATATCGCGAAGCCTGTTACGCAAGACGTGGTCTGGCCTACAACTACTTAGAATGGAATAACATTGTGAATAAAATAGGGTATTCCGCACTAGCGAAGCCTTGGAAACGAGAGGCGAGGATAGCGCTGGTCGAATATCAGCCTCGCAGCTTCTAGATCCGGTCGTCTGCTGTCAACTGCATGGTGCCGTTAGGTTAGGTGTGGGTCTGGATTTCAATCTCGATTTATAGAATGAAAACATTATCCACAATAGTTTTGCTGGTATAATAACACGTAATCGTCATAATCTGAAGCAAGATGTCGTCGCTTACTAACGCGACAGAGCAATGGACAGCTGACGCACGGAAACAGAAGCCATGAGGCTGAGAGCGGACCAGCGCCATCTTCGCCTCCCATTTCCGGCGCCAAGCTTACCCGGAATACCCTATTTGTTCAACTACCTTTAAAACCCATAGTTGGCTGGGCGATTAGCGAAACCTATTGCTCCAGTAAAGACCACAAAGGGAGCGCGAGGTGCACGGTGACCATCGGGAATCGTTCTCACAACTACCCTTCAGGTCATCTGGGGCTAGGCGCAACCCTCGGGTCGTCTAGAGGCGTATTACAGCCCTAACCACCCATCGCGTGGGTGTTAAAGCGCGAGCGGTGGGTGGTAAGGGCTGTAACACGCCTCCAGACGACCCGCTGGTTTCAGACTCAGACTTTCGTCTGAATAATAACTCTGAATTTTCAATTTTTTTTGTCTGAACTCTTAATTCAGACCTACAGCTATGAAATTTCAGACGTTCCCTGAAAATTATGACAAATTTGTATGAAAACCCTATTCAGACAGCAAAGTCTGAAAAAGCCAGTCTGAATTTTCAGATTTTTTAAACAGTGGAACCTAATTTTGAACGGGTACGTGGTACGTTGGAGGGTGTAACCTTAAACTTAAGTTTAAACCGGTACGTTGGAGGGGGTAACCTTGAACCTGATAAAGCATTCCGGTAAAGCTGAAATGCAGAAGAATATGGGGAAGATAAAAACGGAAGTCACCATGTTAAAGCATAGCGATTTCCATTTACTTCTTCCCCGCATTCTTCTGCATTTCAGCTTTACCGGAATGCTTTATTTTGAACGGATACGTCGGAGGGTGTAACCTTGAACCTCAGTTTGAACCGGTACGTCAGAGGGTCTTACACGTGTTTGAACCGGTACGGCGGAGGGAGTAACCCCAACCGAGGTTTGCCGTTACGTCGGAGGGTGTGACACATGTTTGAACCGGTACGATGGAGGGGGTAACCTTGTACCTAACTGGGGAGGTAGGCGTCAAGGAAGTGGTGCGCGCCCCCCGAGGCCAACGTCGGACTTCTATAAGTTATACCGCGTATGAAGATCATCGAGAGCGAAGAGAAAATGATAACAGCCACCGTACCGCTCTGAGAGGAGCGGAGAGCTGCGGTGAAGTGCACCGGGGAGCTGCGGTGACGTGGCGTGGCGGGCCGCCCCCCACTCCTCCGCCTGGACCGCGCGCCAGTCTCACTCGTCCCGCTGCACCCCCATCAAGGTAATCGGCATCAGAAATTATAAAATAATATTCTACAACTAAATAAATGCGAATAAGGCCTTATTATGGTAAAAAGTTTGCGAGATCTCGAAAATCCTGGCTAGTGCACTTGTCACCCCTGGCCATCACCGACCTGTCTTGTCTTGTCTCATTGTTCACCCAGTAGCGAGAGTGTAGTGTTGTGTCACTGTCGTGGTCTTCAGAAAAATGTGCAAACAGATGAAAAGTGTAAAGATGGGGGGCGACCAAATCCAGCTCGAGGACGAGGCATTGTTCGTCGAATTGACAAACCTATATGTAAGTAAATAGATCATTCATTGTGAGTGTGAAATGATAGGGAAAGGGGGGGCGTGGAAAGGTTATAACCGGCCGGCTTGTATTTTAGGGCTCGATTTCCTTATGTACGGATCTGTGGGTCATGTGTGTCGTGAAATATCGTTCTGTGTGTCCTCGGAAACGTATGTTAAAAATTTTGTGTGACTGATTATTGTTTCGGCGTGAGAGGCGTGGGAAAGTCGCCCCTACCAAGGATCAACCTGTGGTTGTGAGCAGGGAGGGGTACCGAACGCAAAGTTATTTGTGGATTTCTAGTACGGGAAGGACGTTTCGTTTAAATGGTGGGCCGAGTGCGTGTGAGTGAAAATCCGAGTGAAATATGTCCCCGAAAAGTGTCAAAATGACCCTTTGTCATTCCCTGTGTAGAGGAGTGTGTGTGTGTGTGTGCGTGAGTGTCTCTTGTAGGTTAGTGGTTCAGCAAGAAATTTTTCGTGTGTTCTAGTACCAACTGGACGGAGCACCTTTGGTGGCCCTGCCTGCCCCCGTGCCAGCCCCAGCACCCGAGGCCACCCCCGCCCCCGAGCAGCCCCGGGCCTTCTGGGAGGATGGCACTGTTCAGGGGGACGACTTCTTCATTGAGGAAGATGTGAGTACCATGTTGTGATCGCCTACCCCCTATGGTGTCCGTCAACAAAAAAATCTAATGCGTTCATCCTTATGTTCACAGGAAGCAACACTCAGGGTCAAAGCCCTCAATAGCATGAAGAAGAAGAAGGCTAAGACAATGAAGAAGGAAAAGAAATTGAAGAAACAAAAGTTGTAGCATTCTTTTTTATTTTTTTTACTGTTCATCTGTGATTTTTTAATGTGATCGTGTCATCTTCATCTCTCTAGGGTTTCGTTTCACCACCCAATATTTTTTTTACCAATCATCACCTCATCGCTAGAGAGTATCGTTTCACCTTCATTAAGCTGTGATTTTTATGTAGGTGATCAACTTTTTTATTTTTTTAATGTGATTGGCCCGAGGGGGTTTTATCTCGGCATTTTCGTGTACAGACTACTCCGTATTACGCGTATTACGCTTATTACAAGGTATTACCGGGTATTACAGAGTATTACCAGGTATTACAGGGTATTACCAGGTATTACAGGGTATTACCTGGTATTACAGGGTATTACAAGGTATTACCGGGCATTACAAGCCGAGAAAGTCCACACTATTCTA